GTCTTGCTGGATTATCTTTATGAAAATTAGGCTGGTCCTAATTTCATGAAGTAATTCCTACAGACATAGTTACTTTATTTTAGTATAAAATTCAAATATAGGCTTGGAAAGCACATAATATTGCTCCTTTAAACAACCATAAGACCAAAGTGCTGTACAGTCAGTCAATAAAACACACAACAGACACAATACATAATAAAAGCCAAATCCAAAAATTAAAACTATACAATAAAACAAACACATAAAACCATTAAAAGAAATTAAAATAATCTCAAAACAAACTAAAAGTCAACATCTCGGAGCCAAAAGCCAAAGAGAAGAGATGCGTTTTAAGTAGCGTTTTAAAAGCCGACAGGGACGTGGTCTGTCTGATGCCCAAAGGCAGGTTGTTCCACATTTTAGGAGCAACAGTGGAGAAGGCACGATCCCCTCTAAGCTTACGTTTAGTTTTTGGGAWTCTCAGGAGCAGCTGGTCTGCTGACCTGAGAGAACGGGAGGGGGTACAGGGGTGCAGMAGTTCAGTGAGGTAAAGTGGGGCAAGACCATTTAATGCTTTAARAACAAATAGAAGAACTTTAAAATKAATCCTAAAATGAACAGGCAGCCAATGCAGTGAGGCTAAAACAGGGGAAATGTGAAATAAACAAGAGGCCAACAAAACATGTTGTATAAAAGACAAAATGGTCCAAACACTGTAAAATATAAAGGAATGGCTCAGTACATGCACTTTCAATGGCATTTTCCAGGAATTTCAACACGATTTCTCTARTGAGCAAGATATTTTGCTAACAGACTAATGATGCACAACCATAGGAACACACCAACAAATGTGTGTTACCTCTGCGCAGAGCCTGCGTCTGGTCAGAATACTGCACCAATCCTGGGATCTGCTCCACCACAGTCAGAGCTCCRTCATCAATGCTGTGGCCCAGTTTGATTTTGCTCCGGTCCAGAACCATGTACTGATTGTTGTAGGTACCTGAGCAGGAAGTCAGCCAAGTTATACTTAGTTTGAAACTGAGCCATGCTGCTACACCAGCATCACGATCACTGAGCCCAACTGACCAGAGTTGTACATAGAGAAGATTTTGGCCCATTCCTCCCCCGTCTGAGCCAGACTGTGGGCCAGCCGGACCCTTTGCCACGCCAGCAGGCTCTTYGGAGTGATTTGGTCAAACAGGGAGGAGTTGAAAACGTTGTTGGTGGTTTGAGTCATCATCAGACCGCTGCCCAGGAGGTAAAAGTCATCCAGAGACACCAGGAAACCTGAAAACACAAACCAGGTTCTGGAAATGAGGTCCGCTGATGCAAACCGTTCCGTAATTAGCGTAAAACAGCTGATTTGTGCTAAATCTGGCTCTTAAAACCTGAGATTTTGGGAAATAACTGCACAATTTTCCTGCTTTTTCTTTTTTGTTTGAATAACTCTTGAGGAGAATTCCTGGGGTCTACACACCAGGGTAGCTGCTGAAGGACAGCTTCCCGGTGGCTGTGTGAGGCTCGGAGACGTGGAAATCCCAGTGTTTGTAGATGCGCATCGTGGCTGCGTACGTGTACCAGCTGGAGTGGGCAAACAGGAGGTTCTCATAACCCGGCAGCATCTGAGGAAGACGATGAAAAATGAAAAGCAGTACGGTCAACTCAGGGTGCAGGACTCAAAAAGATATCCCTTTATCTGGAAAAATTATTTCATTTAGTCAACTTTTAGGGGTTGTAGGGGTGCTGTAGCCCACACCCAGCTGTCAGAACAACACCAAAATGAATACATGAATCTGAGCAGAATACTTTCTCTGATACACTTTAAGAGAAGCTCTCAGGTTGTGTTAAACCTTTTTTTCCCTACATGTGAGATGTGAAACAAAAATTGCTCAACTTAAAAATCAAATTACCAACTGCTCTCCGTGAATCTCAGCTCAGCGAGACACCAGCTGTACCTTCAGCCATGGGCGTAACTTTGTGAAGGACTGGTGTGGACATGTCCCCACCAACTTTCGACACAAAGTTACGCCCCCACCTTCAGCATTCAGGTTTGTGTGAAATCCCAGAGCTTTTATCTGAACAAACTCAGCAACCCGAGACAGGCCGAGGCAGTCTCAAACACAAACTGRACTGGGTGGTGCCTAAAGCTTTAAACATATATAAACTTAGCACAAAACATCAAGAAATGTGTGTTTGTTACATTATTTCTTTGTTGTAACAACGCTCCTTGGCAAAACATTTATACTGTTGGAAAGCCTGTTAATTTTTCTTTTAAAATGGTGCCACATTTGTAAGGAACACGCCTTTGTGGCATGAGCAGTAGAGCTGAGTATGTGGGTTGCGCACATGAAAAAAAAAACTGCCAAATCTTCTTTGTCAAACAGCTAGGAGCTTATCTAGGAAAATAAATGCTGCGTAAACCTGTTAAGAAGAACTAATTGTAATGTCATGCCTATGAAAGTTTCTGTATTGCATTTTGCTCATTGGAATTCATGTGTTTCACAATACATAGCTTTAGTCCAGCTGTAGAGAGAGATTTAATGGTTAAAAAAAGTTTCAGATGTTTTATTCAGTCTTAAATAAGTCACCACTCCATCAAAATAAATAAATCTCTAATGTTGAAGTGTACAGCACTATTAATCATTGATTAGATGTGACTTCCTGGCGGGTCTTGATGTTTGAGCATTTAAAAGAGTCAAAGAAACACAGAAGTTTTATTTGAAGCAGTTTTTGCTGCAAAAGCCTCAAGAGCTCCATTCACTACCAGTCGAGGTGGAGGTCGACTCCTCCAAAGGAGGGGTGGGAACAATAAGAAGCATCACACACGCTTCAAAAGACCGACCAATGGGGTTGGGGCAAGATGCCATATTGCTCAGGGCGGGCTGTCAATTTGAACAATTTATCATGGCGAAATTTCTGTGTAGAACTGCATATAAATATAAAATAACTTGTGTTAATATCAAACTGAGTTTCATTGATGTTCTGACCTAAATTTATCTTGTCATGTTACCACATTCAGCTCCACCAGCTAACAACACTAGCCACGTTTACATGGACATGATTTAATTGGATTTAAAAATATAATGGTTTGCATTGCTGTATCTTTTTTACGTCTAAACTTCACCTTAAAACTTCAATAAATTCATTTTCTTTTCTTTAAAAATCCCTTCATTCCACGGCTGCAGCAGCAGATTAGATKGAACAAAAAGTTCTAGTTTTGTCTTTTTATATGTTACTGTGGAAAAAGCACAGCTGATGGCAGTGAAGCATCACTTATGTGTTGTTCAGGAGCTTTTGAGGAACAGACTGTGTGCATTTCCAACCCGTCACCTTGATGAGTGCAGAGCAGTGTCCCATCCCTGGAAGGCTGAAATCTCTGTGCGGACTGTTGGAGCTGGGGAGTAGCGTTGGGATCAGGTCCAGCAGGTCTCCCACTGCGTTCAGGAACTGGACGTCAAACAGCGACAACGGCTGTGGGAAAAACAGCAGATTAACAGCTGGACAACAAACGCAACACAAATACCAACCGCTCCTAACGCTGAAACTGAAGAAGGAAATATTAATATGTGGTTCTGCAAACTGAGCCAAACTCAAACTTAAAGCAGAACAAAGACGACGGTTGTACGAATAAAACTTTAGCAGAAGCTTTGTAATGAGTATGTTTAATTCAATAATATCATTAACACCAGCGAGGATGGCAAAATAAACTGTGTTTCAGAAAAAGCAAAGAAAAAAGACAAAACATGTGATGTCCCTTTAAAAATCAGACTCTATAGAGAGAAGTTTGGTTAGTTTGGAGCTTCCTCTTTTTACATCGGAGCATGCAAAAAAAGATGAATCACTGAGATAAAGTGTGTATCATCAATCTAAATAAAGTACAAATAAAATAACTGGACTTCTATTCTGAAGATGTTCCATTTCTGCTTTTAAAGCTTTACACCCCACATCTACCAGACTTTTATGAACAGAAAAAGCATCTGGGACGGGAGGCAACATGTTTTTGACTTTAAAAAAAGGGTCCAGTAGTTTGTTTTTTGAATTTGTTTTGGATTAACCATGTCCTGAATGACTGAGAATTTACACCAGAATATGTGCATCAAAAAGTCTAATTTACAAAGACTTTTATAACAATATAAGTCTGTCATTCCAACAAACGAAGGCATATTACTCAACAGGTTTCATGCCAACATGTTGGACTGAGATCATATTGTGAGGAGGTAAAGTTGTTGATATTTTACATTGTCTAAGATTAGCTGATGTTTGTGTTTCTGTATTTATTTGCTTGTCTTATGTTTTGTCCAGATTTACCTTCTTGCCCTGCCTCTTGGCCCACTCTGCCACTCCGGCCTGCAGTCCGTCCATCTGGGCCACAACGAAGCCGACATGTTTCCACAGAGGATCAGAGCTCTTGTTCAGCTTCACCTGCTCCCTGACCCACGAGTCCTGGTTCCTGTGGGGGGTGACACTTCCTGTTTATTCATCATTCGGCTGCAGAAACCCTGACTTAGCAGAAGTGGTAAAACTTTAATTTGAACCATTTTAAATGTTTAATCGTTTTCTCTTTTCATTTTATCTGGCTGCTCTGTGTCACATGACTTTACCAGAAGCTGAAGTGAGAACAGGATATGAAAAACAGAGATATAAATGTCAGACTGTATGTGGTTACAGAAAAAGAAGACAGAACAGACTTACGCCATGAACTTCTTAACTGGACCGAGGAGCTTTGGGTCTTTGATCAGCTGAGGATACATGTTGGTGTAGTGGTCCATCATCTGCCTGAGGATAGACAGTAACAATACACAAGGGTTTTATTTTGCATGAAAAAAAAAAATCACTAAAAGTTTCTGTGCCACTTACTGGGCAGTGAGGAATCCTTCGAGATAACCAGCAAGGAAGAAAGTGATTTCATCCGTTTCACGAGTCTTCCCGTACCCGGCACGGATCTCCAGGACACTCCAGCCTGAGGTGGTCAGGGTGTCATTCAGGTACCCATAGGCGTCCCCGTCAGTCTCCATCGCTCCATCCTTCAGCAGGACAAGCTTTTGCTCGGAGTCCCAGTACACAGTGGCTGTTGTTATCTCTGGGCACAAATCAACCATGAAGAAGAAGAAGAAAAGGGCAAAAGTTAATAAAATAAAACACTGAAAAGTGAAAAGTCTCCTTTAAACATGATAAACACTGCAAGTCTAAACTATTTAACATCTGTCATGACTTTAGTCAATTCATTCTACTTAAATTACACAGACTTTTCATGCAGACACATTAGGTTGGGTTAACACATTTGAGTAAAGGTGAAAGAAAATGAAAGAATAAATGAAAGAAGCTTCAAATTTGGGATCATCCACTATGTATTTTCAATMTCAACACTTGAGTAAAAGTAAGCATTATGAATAAATGTAAGGTTTCAGTTAGTACAGGACAGTCATTAGGACAGAAAGGAAAGAAAGCCCCACAGATCCTCAGGGATTAACCCAACACTCGACCTACTTACTGTCAGCTGCGAAGATCGAAACCACAAGAAATAATAAGAAGACGTACAGCCTCGTTAATAAAATCATGTCAGCGATATTAAAAGTTCAAAAATAAGAAGCTGAGTTTGATGCAGAATGAAGAAGTGGATTCACTACATGAGGTGGAAACGAAGWGTAAATCTAATGTTTTGTTTCAGAGGTAAAGCCCAAGGCAGCAGAAGAAGAGTCACGGGAGCGGAGCGCTTCCTGATTGGCTCAGGGAACCGAGGAACAAGGAAACTGAACAATTTAGAAACGATCAGCTGAGATGAATTGCTGACATACGACAAAAAGCATGTGAGTACTTAGTCGATAAATTCCACTAGAAAACAAACGGTGACAGGATGAAAAATAGAACCACCCCAGATGGGACTCGAACCCACAATCCCTGGCTTAGGAGGCCAGTGCCTTATCCATTAGGCCACTGGGGCGCAGATGRCAGCGTGTATGCGTACGAAAATTTTGTGCCCTAAAATGAGATTTATACATTGCATTTGCACCAACCTCGAACGCTAACGCAGCAAGACGAAATATTTAGGTCAGATTTTACATTAATGCAGAAATAAAGTTATTATAAAAAGGAAATAGTCATTTTCTAAAAACAGGTAATATGACCGGGGTTACATTTTGGTTTGATGTAAAAAATAAAAATAAAAAAACAAACGAACCCCGAGCTACAGAATTTCTCGTAAAACCTTTTATTAAAATGCCACTTTGGCAAAACATACACCAACCTCAGAAAACAAACTGTTGTAATTATTATTAAAGTATCAGTCAGTGAGAGAAAAAAATCAAGATAAAGATCCCTTCTCAGATTTAAAATGAATGTATAAAACAAAACTATAAACAAATGGCAAAGCACACCTATAATTGTAGGTTATGCMTAGATTTAAATAATTCACATCCATGAGATGGTGCAATGCTGCCATCTTGTGGTCACCTAAGGTATTGATTACATTTTGCTTGTGACCATAAATCTTATTTTATTGATTATTTACATATTAAAATAAAATTAACACAACTATATATAAATAAAGAGAAAAACAGCAGAATGTTCAAACCACAGTCTGTGAACCTTACCTTCATTTAAACCACTTCAAGTTCACTTCACAAACACTTGTGAAATTATTCATGCAAGACACTGACCTTGCTTTTTTATGCTGGAATGTAAAAAACAAAACAAAACAAAACAAACAAACAGTGTTATTTGAAAATAAAGATGCACATATGAAAGCATACAATAATGAAAAAAAAAACTACTTGTAGTATGGGAGTAAACTTGACCTAATTGCAGAAAATGCAGCAACTTTCGTTAAAATTGGAAAGTGAAAATTGTAATAAAAAAAACGTTATGAAAAAAAACAGAAAGATGGGTTGATAAAACAAATCTAGACGGCAAATAACAACTTTATATAATAAACACTTCATGTGTAACTTTAAATTTAAATTATTTGCTGCTTTAACATATTTTTCAGTAGTGTCTCTTAACATTTTAGATCACTAAACAAATTATTTTTGAGAAAAAAAAGTGTAACAAATATATCATAAAATAAATATAAAGGTACATTCAATCATTTTCAAACGGACAAACACCACTAAACCATTAGACTTCTTAGACAGGACAAAAAAAACAATAAAAATAAAAGGCACACAACGTAAATTTAAAGATCAAACCCTGCAGTGAGAAAACCCCTTCACCCTAAACTCACCCATTAACGTAACAAAATATTTAGTTAAAGCTTGCAACGTAAAATACAGTAAAATAATCACAACGAAGAGCGTAGCAGCAACTACAGGTGTAATTCATCTTTTATGAACAGTGGTAACCGTTTTCAGCTGCTGTACAACGCTCAGTGAGTGAGCCGATGTTCAACTCTACGAATCATTCGTCATCGATCAGTTTCTCTGTGCCGTTCTCGGCTTGTCTGCTCCCTCCCTCCTCCCCGCGCACTCCTTCCTCCTCCTCCTCCTCATCGGTGTAGGTGAAGGACTGGCTGCTGTAGTTGATTGTGGTGTGGGACAGGTCCACTTCGATGGGGAACACGTCGGCCTCCTTCAGGACGGCGTAGCACTCGTCGTAGTAATGGGACATGCCTGAGACGAAGCGCTGCAGCTGGAACACGATGTCCTGGACTGCAGAGGAAGAGGAGTCACAGACCAAGCTGTTATTTCTCACACGGGCTGTTGAGATTAGAGTTATGGAAAAGCCTGAGGAGAACATCTACGAGGACAAACCGTGTTTCTGATCCAGCAGCTCTATCTTTTCCAGGACGTCCTTCCTCATTTTAGCGAAGCGAGCGCGGGCCTCCTGTCGACACCTCAGCACCAAGCGGTACTCGTAGTTACCGGTGCTGACCCGGTACAGAGGCTCTCCCATGGCCTGTTTACAGGTGTATGAAGTCAGAGCAGAGAAATTGATCAAACATGCAGGAAGTGAACACAAGACGCTTTATAATTTTATCTCTTCTTGTTTTGATTTTTGTAACTCTCTTTTTATGGGTTTGAACAAATCTGCTGTCACTGGTTTCCAGTCGATACAGAGCGCCGCAGCGAGGCTTTTAACAGGTACTGACAGAAGAGTACACATCACACCAGTTTTATCCTCTTTACATCGACCACCTGTCAAATTCAGAACYGATGTTAAAATTTCAGTCTTGACTTTTACAGCTCTTAATGGTCAGTTGTTTTGTTGTATGTTTCTTTGGTTGTATTTTGTTTGTATTTATTTTATTTTTGCTCCCTGTGAAGCACTTTGTGATCTCTCTGTGAAAGGTGCTGTAAAAATAAAGTTTACCTACTTACTCCAACAGAACTTAATCTTATACAGTAAGTTGTAGAAATAAGAACCACAGATATGTTCAACTCACTTATCAGCCACCAAAAACATGAACCAAATAATAAAACTTTAAATAAAAACACAACAAAGATAATATTTTATATCAAGAAAGAATTAAAAAAAATCTTGAGTTCTTATGTGTTTAATTAAGTCACCTTATTATTGTTTTAAAAGCTACAAACTGGCTACGCTATGAGCTAACAGTAATAAGGTCTGTTTTTACTCAAGAAGCAAAGTGCTAATTTAGCTCCTGAAGAGGACAAACAATCATGTTTTCACCTGTTATTTACAGATTTGTAGAATCTTTTTACTGTGCGATTCATGAAGTAGGATATTGAAATATATCAAACAGTGTTGCTGAACAATGATTTTATTGTCACACTGACACAGAATTTACCAACAAATAAAAAGAATGTGGAAATTAAAATGCAAAAATGCTTCAGATGCAGTCAAATGTAGAGATTCATATAATACGTTTGTAAAAGCAGGGATTGTTTGTTAAAGCTCATCTCGTGAGTCATCTTTTTATGGGACTTCAGATAGCTTTATAGAGATTATTTTAATAGCCAAGCAGGTTTCTGCTGATATGAGTTCTTTCTCCGTCTGTTTCTTTGATAAACTGCAGGTCTGGTATCCATTAGAACATACTAGCAGAACTTTAACTTAAATCTCATTTGTGACGTTTCTAATTTTAAATGAGAAGCTCATTTGGCTGAGATGATGAGTCTGCAAAAACAAAATCTCAAGATCTTCTTTGTTTTATGAATTCTTTACTCACTTTGAATTTTAGACCTGTCAGTCTTGATGTATCAAAAATAAAATAACACCCTTCAATATACTCACGATGCTGCTGTACTCTTCATCGTCCATCTCCTTCACCTTCAGGCAGTAGGACTGAAACACACAGGAAGTTGTGTTCAGCACGTCTACATCAGACATCAACATCCTGTCTCGTGTATAAAATGTCAGAGTGAGGCCTCACCAGGTATTCAAACTTCACATCCAGGTACTTCCTGATGGTGAGCTTGGTGTCAGGTATGGCCTTGTGGAGGTAAGTGTTCAGATCGTGGAGCATCTGCACRTTGAAACAGAACAGGTCACCGACATCTTAGTAAGAATAGCAGAAATGTTTTATAAAGTTTGATTTGAATACTTTTGATATAAAGGAACAGTGTTAGATCACAGATAACGTTTGTTTCTCTGTGAGGCCTGTGTGCTTTCAGTGCAACAAGTGATGATCTAAACTTACGGGCTTGATGGTTTTTAGAAGCCTAATTCCGTATTTCTCAATGTTTCTGTGAGCATCAGCAAACTTGACGAAGGCCTCGCTGGCTGCAGCCTGAGGCTCTCTGACACCGATGACTGAAAAAACATCCCCGAACGCTGCAAACACAACATCCAGTCAGAACGAAAAGCACTAAATGCATTCAGATGGTAAAAATGAGCATGTTTGTTTATTTKAACTCAACTTACAATGAATGGCTACTTGTTGTTTTACAGAATGAAAGCAGGTTTTTATGAACGGGCAGAGGAGCTGATGATAAAAATACTAACAGCCCATTCCGCCCACAACTGACATTATTTACATTTTAAAAATTAGAAGAAATGYTCAGTTACATTGATTAATTTATCATTTTGCTTTTAGCTAACCAAAGTAAAAAAAATATGTAAACTGTTATAATTCAGTTGTGTTTACTCTGACAGTATGTTTTTAAACCAACCTCTGTGAGTTTGAGAAAGCTCAAAGAAAGCTCTGAGCAGCCTCTTGGTGTGCTCCATCAGTCCTGCCAGCAGATAAATATTTTAATAAAACACTGATCTCAACAAAATTATCTCATATTAATCTACTGCAGCCATTTAATTAAAAAATAATAATAATAATCACAACACATATTTGATTTTAAGCACTAAATAGGAGAAATTGTTCTGAAACATTTTTAAAATTTGAACCTTTATAAAGTTCTGCTGTTTTCTCCAGCTCTTCTAGTCTTTTGACCAGCCCATCTGCAGAGAACAAAATATTTTCCAGTCATCTATTGCAATAAATTAACTGTAATCACATTGATATGACTTTAACAAAAACTGTACCGTTACAAAGAATAGCTCTGCTGAGTCCGAGAGCATCAGCTGTGCCTGAGCTCATGTTCTCCACAAGACGATGTTTGACTTTCTTTAACACTGAAACACACAAAACACCACAGAACACAATTTCTGATGGTGCTGCAAAACAGAATTATAACAAGTAATTCAACGTGCATCTATAAAAAATACCAATGTCTAAAGATTTCCCCTGCTTTGGGTCGGCCTGCAGTTTGTTGTAGTGGATCACTGCCTCTCCCTGCGAACACACAAACAGGACAGAAACATAAGAAGACAAACTCTTATTTATTTCATTTGATGAAAAGCCAACATTGTAAAGATGTTGGAGAACAACGTGTTCAACACTGTGGTGCAAACAGAGCCATTCAGGWGCAGAGTTTGTCCTGAAAGAGCAAAGCCCAACACAGTTTAATCCTTTAATTCCCACCCTGATCCAGTCTTTATCTCACGACAGAGGAAGTCATGACATTTTTCTGTGCGTGAACAAAGCATGTCTAAAAACAACACGGCCCCCTGTGCTGGGGGTGACGCGCCACGAGCTTTGGGCAGCTGGGTAAGTCAGTGAAATCCCTTTTCTGCTGCTGGACTCAATATTCACTGATGAAACTGCAGCTACAGCGAGATATAAAACAGTGAGTTGTCTTTTTGCTCTTTTTCTGTTTGTGTCAATAAATATTTGATTTCGAAATGTAGCATATTTACAGGATAAAGGTACACTGTAAGTAGGATTTACTCATTGTGGTTGTCACAAATATAAATTCCAATGATGAAACAGAGGGTTTGAACTGATTTACTATTTCAAAACAAGTGTTTCCAGGACTGTTATAGAAATAAACCATGAAAAATACATTCAAATGACAGAATATCAAAGAAACTGCAACAGAAAAACTGTCCTGGTGTGAGAGAGAAAATTTCAAGAAAGAAAACCAAACAGATATTCTCTGAGAAGAARGTGGTACACCTGAGTGCAACAAATCTGACATGTTTACGAGGAAAAACATCTTAAACATCAATTACTGTGAATAAAACACAATCATTCTTTGGCATAAATTAATTAATTAATTTATTGTTTTATTTTCATGAATGAGCCATAACATAAGTCTAATCAATTAAATGCTTCAGTTCAACAGGAAGTCCTATCAACATGACCGTCAGGAGCAACACCTTACTTCAGAGCAAAAAYAGCACCTGATCATTCTTATCATTTCGCTGATAACTTTTCAAAAGAAAATGGATACAATCTATATAACAGACCATCAACACTTCAGTTTTCACAGCACGTGTACAAAATGTGAACTGCACCTGGGAACAGTATATTCAGATACTTTTTTATATCGATTCTATTCTAGATGCTACAAAAGTATTTTCATTGCTTCACCTGAAAGCTTTGTWGTTTTGCTCATCGGTCTTACTAAGCAGATTATTATTTCAGCAATCCAAAAGTGAGATCCTTCAGWTTTTTATTCAGGAAATACTGATATAATTTAAATTCTTATAAAATTCCAGATAATTCCCACACTTGAAAGATGTTTGAAAAGCCAGAACGTTGAGCTGATGAATAAGTAGTTTTTGGATCATATCTTTTTTTTAAGATACAGAATAAAAAAGCTGATCAAATATCCTTCAGAAAGGTTGTTCTAAAATTTACCAAGTGTGTTTTTTTCTATTATTTTATGTAGATCCACGTTATGGTAAAATCTATTAAAAGTACTCTAACAATGGGATAACAYGATGCCCATGAGCTGAAATCACAAATACTTTTTCTTGTTTAATCAAACAGTAAAGTATAATTTGATTTTCTTCTGTAGGCCCAACACACAAATAACAGACTGATCCTACTGAAAAACTGAAAAGAAAAACTGTAATAAATTATTTTAAAATAAGAAAATATGTTTCTCCAGTTATTTTACAATTTTAATCAACAAAACATTTCTTTCCAGATTCAATAGTTTAAACTGGAGGTCTTGAACCCTGTTCCTCATGACCAACTCCTGCATGTTTTAGCTGTTTCCCTGCTTCAACACACASCTGCTAAATTTGATGACATACTGAGCAGGTAATTTAATGATTTGAATCAGGTGTGTCAAAGCARGGAAACAGCTAMACCAGGAACAGGGTTGAAGACCTCTGGTTTAGATAAAAAAATAAAATAAATTGTGTTTATTCTTCCAGACTACCTGGACAGCTTGTATCATCTTGGCCACTTCCACCTTTGTTTTTCCTTTCACGGTTTTCCCGTTCACACCTGTGATTTCATCACCTGCTGCCAGCGTCCCATCCAGAGCTGCTGGGGTGTTGTCAAAGACCTGGGAGACAAAAATAACCACGCTGAAAGGTGACAATGACTGTAGAAATTGTATTTTTTCCCCTATTTAGTTTATCAAATTAATTTTCACTGCATGACTTTAACTCCTAACTGTGGCATTAATCCAAATATTGTTTGTTKCTCTTAATGAAATTTGCAGACGTTGCATTGGTAATAGTGTTTCTGTACTTACCTGAACAATGTAGAGACAAGGACAGTACTGAGCTCCACCACCGATGCTGATGCCAATAAGATTGTTTGCATCTTTCTTCAGCGTCACGGTGCCCGGCACTGTTGGGATCCCTCTGTTGTTGTTAAAACAAGTATATCGTTGGTTCATTTCAGGAAATTAATTCACATTATCAGCTATTTTTAAAGCTTTAGTTTGAACGTAAGCAAATAAAATGCCTGCATTTCTAAACACAGCACTGTGAATTGAATGAAGATTTTTAAAATATTAAAACACAGCTGACTCACAGTTTGTCCTCCTCCAGCTCATAATCCATGTCTGTGAACATTGTAGGACAGATTCACTACTGTCCCTGAGGAAGATAAAAATAAAGTGCACACACTATTTTTTGTGAAAAGATATGACAATTAATATACGAGAAAATACGAGCATCTTTCTCACTAGAGTGATTTCAGTGAAATTATCTGGTATAAATCTGTAAATCAAACAGCGATCAGCGCAGTCTTGATGAGTCTGGTGCTCTGACAGAAGAAACGCTAGCTCTGGGCGGAAGAAACAGCTGGTGACTAACTCATATTCTTTAAGAAATACGACTCTTACTGGGTGTAATAAACCATGAACTTGTGCGTCAGAAACAGCCAGAKAATTGTTTCTGTGTATTGACGTAAGTTGAGAGGAAATTGCTTGCTAACGCCACTTAGCTGCTAGCTGTAGCCTTCAACAGATAGCCTGGTGCACGGAAACTGGCGCAGCTTATGAACACCGTCTTGTTTACCTTTTAGTCTGCGTTGCACAGCTTTGTTCTATAGGTGCCGCTTTCTATGCATGAAGACCAAATTTCCCGAGTTGTGCCTTATATTAACAATTACATGAACTTCTGAATGTATTGATGGCTCCTGTTTATTTTATTTTGTCACTTCCTGCAACTTACCGGAAGTTGCTGTGAAAGCTTGCCTGCTGCCATCTGGTGGTCAGAGTTGGAATAATCACTTTAAATGTATTACACTGGCGCAAAATTGATGTAATATCTGAAGCGTGGGATTATATTTTTGAATAGAATTTTCAAAAAAAAAAGTAATTTTTTAAAATAAAGAATGATAATGTTTGCAATTATAAGAGTTAAAGTATTAGAAAGTTCTCTAATGAGCTACAACACAATGTTCAGGTCAAATA